CTGCTTGGGAAGTTTTCTGCCATCATTTCTGTGAACAGTTTTTTTATGTCACCTGCACTCTGTCCTGTTTCTTCATTGACTCCAGTAAGTCTTATGTTATTCTTCTTTGCATCATCTAGCAGCTGCTGGATTGATTTCTCGTGGATTCCTTCCTGGTCCTTTACTAAATAATTTGGTAAATACTTTAGTGGGTAGTAAATATTATATACTAAGTAAATACTATGTAGTAAAATATTATTTACTATAGTGTTAGAGTACTATCATCTAGTTTAAAAACATAGTAAATATGCCAAATGCTTTATTAAATATTGAGTATATTTGTCTTTAACCAGTTAAGCATTTAGCATCCTCTACCTCATCCTTGTCACCTCTTAAGAAAACAATTATTCCACTCCTTGCCTGTTGTACCCACGCTTCCTTTAACCTACCATACCTCCACTGCCAAATTGAGTACATACGTATGAATCATGGAAAATGAAGTCTCAGCCTAGCAGAAATATTCCCTGTGCACAAAAATAACAAGTGTGTTGGGGCTTATGACCCATTGTTGTGACCCACAGGACCAGTTAACCTTTATGGAAAGTATATCTTTTGCTGAATTGTAGCAGAACTTTTGAATACCAGTGTGACAGGCTGTCTGATTTGTTACAGTCATGTGGCCCATGAATTAGCGGAGGAATTTTCTCCTCGGGATCCCAGACGTCTTGCAAAGCAAGATGGTGGGGTCTGTGCTTCCATCTCACCAGCATTGCTGCCACCTGACCTGGAAAAAGAAGAGGAAAAAGAAGATACTTCAGAGTCCATTGACCTGAACCCCTGTAGTGCAACATACAGCAATTTAGGTAAGTACAAATGTCATATAAGTGGTTTTTAAACTTTGCCTCTTTATGCCCTAGGCAAATGTTCTGTTTTCCTGGAGAGATGGTTTTTATTGCTCCATGGAGCAAAAGTTCGACCATTAGGGCGGGAGATTTAGCTCAGTGGTTCCGCCGCCTGCCTCATAAGCGCAAGGTCCCGAGTTCGATCTCCGGTACCAAAAAAAAGTTGGACCATTAGAGTTATAAATTTTAACTCACACCGGAAGAAAGCCTTAGTGTTTACTAGCCATGTATTAAACACTTGCTACCATGAGCTGTGCCTCTGTGCCAGAGATGCTGACATGGTCCTTGCCTTGCAGGACTCATGGGGAGAGAGAGGTGCACTTGTCAGTGAATTCAGTATAGTATGACAGTAGCAGTCACAGAGATAACACATGGAATATTTTTTATATTATGCAGAAGAAGGTGTCAGAAGATGCCTTTTCTGGAGATAATTCCTAAACTGATTTAACTGTTTGACAAGAGGGAGAAAAGAGTATTCAAACCAGAGGCCAGAACAAGACCGTAGAGATGCAGAATAGCTTAGTGCATGTGGATACCACAATAATTTAGTGTTGCTGAAATGGGTGGTGGGGAGTTTGATAATATCATGCATGTCAGGCTAAAGCCTTAGACTTCCTGCTGTTTGTGATAGTGAGCCATCAAAGAGTTTAAGCAAAGAAATAACATAGTTAGATTTGTGTTTTAAAACATGTGCTCTCCAGGCTGCTCTATGAAGATGTATTACAGTAGTATTTAGTATCAGGAAGTCTGGTAGGGCTATGCTGTTGCAGTACCACAGAAAGGATAAGAAAAGGAGGCCTCAACTAAGTCAATGAGAAGGAAAATGGTGGGGTATTTAAGGTAATATACTCAGGACTGGGAGATGTGCAAAATCTATGATGTATCCCAGATTTCTGGCTTGGATCAAGCAGACTGAAGGAAGTCAGATCTCTCCATTGGAAGCACGTAAGCAGGGCCTGACAGGCCATCACTCAGAGTTCCTGGGAGGGAGAGTACAGCACTGCAGAGAGGGTTGAACCAATCCAAAAATACTTTAGTTCTCTGATTGTCCTCACTCTTCTTCCTTGACTGCCCAGTGACTTCTAATCTATCTCTCTCCTTTGAGTGTCACAGTTTACATTCTGAAAAGCAAACCCCAGGGCAGCATAAGTTTTTCTTGGTGCTCTTCTCCCATTAAGTCAGGAAACTCAGTTGCAACAACCCATCTTCATAAAGAAAAGACTTCATTCTGAGTTTCAGAACCTTATAATATTTGGGAGTAAAGGAAAGCTTACAGGTTTACCCAAGCAACCCTCCTGGATACCATTTTCTAGTTTGAATACATTTTACAGCTTATGAAACTTTCCTTATTCTTTAGTATTTTATGAAGCACATTACTAGATGAAAAAATAACTGTTTACTTATGTGCCCTCCAATAAGCTAATATATCAGGACTGTAGTATAGATATTCTTCCTATACCAGTATTTCTTTCATGATATCCTGAGTAAAATATATAAAATCCTTACTAATTGTACATCATCTTATGGCAGCTCATTTAAAACAATTTCCATCAGCCAATATTAGTTAAAGATAATTATTTTATCTTATTGACTTCTCAGCTATAAAAATTGATAGAAAAAGCTTCCTTCCATGAATATTCTCAGTGTTTTGCATATGTTAGCTCATTTAATCGTCACAACCATCTTACAAATTATAATCCTCATTTTTTAGATGAGAAAAATGAGGCAGAGAGCTTTGCCCAAAAATCTCAGAACCAGCAAGGATTGACCCAAGATTGAAACCCAGTTGGTTGTGGCTACTATAGTGCTTTTTTTTTCAAAAATAAAAAACAGGAGCTTTATTGAGTTCTTTAAATTCCTACTCCATGTTTTTTATTAGAAATTTTTAATCAACCATTCATAATTAGTGCTCAGAATCACTAAATTATTTTGAAGTACTAACATGCTGTGTCTCCTTTTTTTTTTTTTTTTTTGGAACCAGGGATCAAACTCAGGTCCTTACACTTGCGAGGCAGGCGGCAGAACCACTGAACTAAATCCCCAGCCTGTCTCCTTTTATTTAAGTCATCTTTCAGTCACAAAATAGATTTTTTTTAAATTATGGTTAATTAGAATATAAAAATACAAGCTTAAAGATGCCCTCTCAGAAAGAGTGCTTTCTTTCCACCTATTTCTTTACTTTTTGAAGTGTGCAATGCCCGTAATATGTTGTCCAGTCATCCTTAAATGCTTGAGTGGCTATGTACTTGATCCCACAAGGCTTGATACATGGTTAGTTGCTTCTTTAGAGAGTTAATTGGCAATTCCATTAGCTGCACAAACTAAGGTTTTGGAGGATTGGAGTTTTTTAAAAAATTTTTGTTTTGTTATTTTTTTCCTAATGGAACAAATATTTAGGTATCCTTTGGAACTATCCTTTTTTTTAAATACTTCCAACAATAAATTCTCATGCAGCTTTAAACTACCCCTTTGAGTAATCGTTTTTATTATTTAAAGCTTTGGTAACCAAAAAGGTGTGTTTAATTTGTTTAAGAATGGAAAACAAAGGCAGAAGATGGGAAGATAGGTATGGAAGAAACTAAAATTGTGGAGTTTATTTCTAAAAATTACACTGTGAAGTAGGCTTAGCATACAGTGTTATACAGCAAGAAAAAGGCTGGGTGAAGTGTTTGGAGGGTCAGGTTCCTGTCACAGCTATTTCCCTTCTCCCCTACATGATTGCAGGCTGGCTTTAAAAAGCCCTGAGCTAAAGTTTCCTCATCTGAAAGGGCTGGTGGTGGAGGAAGTACAGTGGTACCTCAGTTCACGAACACTTTTGTTTGCAAACAGTTTGGTTCTCAAACAGAAGTGTTTGGCAAAACTTTGTTTTTGTTTGCATACTCTGCATTTGGTGACAAACACCACCACAGTCAACTTTCCCACACAAACACAAATGTGGCCATCTTTTCCAAATTGTAGAACAAATCAAGTTTATAAACCAAGGTACCACTGTACTTGGTACATAGCAGTGCTTAATAATTGTGAAACTAATTTATTTCTCCCCTAAAAATAGATGGTTCTTTTCTTTTTAAATATGTTGGACTTTATAACCAGAAAGAGCGAAAGGATTTAAATGTTTATTAGATGGTGTTGAATAAGAACACAACAAAATATAAATCCAAAAAACTGTAAGCTGCCTATACAACTAATGCCTGAAGGTGTGAAACACAAAACAGGTAGGACCTCAAAGTGGCTACCAGGACCAGAGGGGAGATGACAGCAGCAATGTCCAGATCTGCCATCATAGCAGAACAAAGGGGCATGGTTTGGATTTGTTCTGTGGTGCTCACAATTCTTATATAGTTCTGAAAACTGATTTTCTATTTTTTTCCTGAAAACTAATTTTCAAACCAACAAAAACCACTCTAACTGGAATAGACTTTGAACACCTTCCTTGAGAACTTCCCCTTAGATCTTTAGGAAACCTCTTCCCCCTGGGATGAGGCAGCATGAGATGTGCTGCAGCTATGCCCACTGTGGGGTCCTGGCTCAGGCAGCTCCACACTTCCCTTTAGAGGTCATGCTCCAGGGCTCATCGCATGTCATTTTTCTCATCCTCAACATAAAGTAAACTTTATTTTTATCATAATTGGACAATTAGATTTCAGAGCTATGCTATCCCATACAATAGCTACCAACCACATCTGGTTATTTAAATATAAATTTATTAAAATACAAATAGGACTTCATTTCCTCAGGCTCACAACATTTCAGGTGCCCAGTAGAGCTAGATGTGGCTGGTAACCGCTGTATTGGGCTGTGCAGCTGTAGAACATTTCACATCCTTAAAGTGCTGTTGGGCAGCCCTGCTTTAGAGAGCTGTAAATATGGGAGACATATATCGTCCTCTGAGTTGCACAAAAGTCATATTGGTCTTTAGGCAGCTTGGCAGCTCCCTTTGAAGGTCACCCCTTACAGAGTGATGGATGACTTTGCTCTGAGTGATGGTCACATGAGATTGCAAGATGAACTCTGACTTATAATACCTTAATCCTCCCCAAACTAGATTTTGTTTGTTTTGTTTTGTTTTTTGGTACTGGGGATCGAACTCGGGTCCTTGCACTTGCGCAGCAGGCGGCAAAACCACTGAGCTAAATCCCCGGCCCTCCAAAACTAGATTTTGGAAGGTGTCTGTCATCCACTGTGATCTCCCAAAGAAGCAATATGTTTTTTATTATTATTATTATTATTATTATTATTATTATTATTATTATTATTATCAAACCCTCAACATTTCCCCATGTTTCTCACATCTAGTGAGATGTCTAGATATGTCTTCTAGATGTCACTTTTTCTCCTCAAAGTGTCTAGAAGAAAAATCAGTGGTTGTATTTTATGTGACACCTTGCTACTTCATCAGCCTGCAAAAATCAGGAACATGGGGCCAGGGATTTAGCTCGGTGGTTTTGCCACCTGCTGTGCAAGCTCAAGGACCCAAGTTCGATCTCTGGTACAAACAAGCAAACAAACAAACAAATAAGTAAATAAAATCAGGGACATGTAACAAAACTACTCTGCTGGAAATAAGTTGGTGACATTAGCGCTCCTTCATTTATTTTGTAACCAAGTGTTCTATACATTGCTTTTTTGTTTTGTGTTTTGTTTTGGTTTTTTTGAGATAGGGTCTGGCTGTGTAGTCCAGACTGGCCTCAAACTCATGGCAATCTTCCTGCCTCAGCTTTCCAAGGGCTGGGATTACAGGTGTGCGACACCACGCCCAGCTGTATTGCTTTTTTAAAAGACTTATCAAGTCTCCCTTTACTTGACAGATTTTTGGCTTACTTCTCTTTCTGTATCCCTACAACCTAGCATATTATCTGAAACACACAGGAGGTGCTAAGAATCTGTTTGAATGAATTAGCTAAAAATGACTGTTGTAGTTGACTTTTTTTTTTTTTTGGTACCGGGGAATCGAACTCGGG